TTGCCTCCTCGTTAATAATGGGATTTTTTGAAAATTTAAATTTGTTAGGGAAAAACAAAAAACAACAACATGTGCAGGTAAAGGCCTTTTTTCATGGAAACATCAGGTATATGACGCTTTAACATGGATGTGAGGGAAGTGGTTTCAAATCCGTAAGGAACCACTTTTTCCGAATATGACCATGGCCGACCCAGGAGTACCCAGCCTTAAACAGGTATAAGATAAAGTCGTGGAAAGTAAACGTGTGATGTTGACCAAATCATCAATGAAGGTTTCTGGTCTATAAAAATGTGATTTCAACCTTATATGCCTGATGTGCCACAAGCATCTGGTAGTAGGAGTATATTATTATAGGCGAAAATCGATATATAATGCAATACACATCAAGCCTACCGACTTTATTTCCTGAGGTATTTCATGGTACATATTCTAAGTTGTTCCGATCTGGGAGCCATATCTCAGTTTTCAAATATCCTTCCGATGTAAATTTGAACTGGCAAAGTATCTAACTGCACGCATATTTGAGGTAATCCATTTGTGAAATTACGGCGTCTTCTTTTTTTTTTTTTTTTTTTTTTTTTTTTTTTTTTTTTTTTTTTTTTTTTTTTTGAAGAGTGAAAAGTGAAGTGGATACGTTTTGTTCTTCCACAAAGCTTGTGCACTGCTCATAAAAAGTACACAGTTTGTGTCAGTGTGAAATAATTTTTTTCTTCATATTTCTTATTTTAAATTTTTTTTTTTTTTGTCGATTTCCCAAATTATTAGTTCGCTTAGTTCGACAAACGAAGTCACCGCTGTAAGAAAACAGCTCCTGTTTAATTTTAAGTTATGAAATCATGACATAGGAAATCTGAGATCACAGGTAAATATTTCGTGTTGTTCGGTAGAGGAGTTTTCGGAGATAGTTATTTAAGTCTGAGGCCACGACTTTTGGAACGGACTATAACCTAAAGCCCAACTATATTCTTCTAGGAGGCGGTGCTATTCAGGGGCTGTAGAACTCTTGGCTAATTTTGTTGTTGGGAGTAGCGAGTCCTAGGTTTCGGGGTCCTTGATGTACGAACAGCAATGTTGCGCTTGTAAAACTAATATTGCACTCGACGCATATGGCTCAGATGTTGAGATTCCATTTCGTAACTCCCTATTTACGGTTCCAGTTGCAGGCAATTTGGCAGCACACCGCCTTGTATTTGTTTCACCAGTAGTATTGGCAGCTGACTGTTCCCTACAGAGGCAAGCATTGAAAGAAAAATTACCTAGGGAAATCACAAACATCTAAAAATACCTGGGCTAGTTCTGCATCGTTTTCTAAAGCAGACACAAAGAAACGTTAATCAGGCCGAATTGTTAACTATCGAGGATGGACTACTCTAGAGTATACAGGCAGATAGTGCTTCTATTGTTAAAATATCTGCAATGAAAGGATTTATAAACTATTTTGACATCACAAACATTGGCCAAATGAAGGTGTTTCTCTCTGTCTCTCTCTGTCTCTCTCTCTCTTTCGCTCTCTCTCTTTCTCTCTCAAACACCCCCCCCCCCTCCCCCCGCCTTTTATTCCGCCCATACATTTCTTCTCAAATTACAACTCCTAAAAAGACTGCACAAACAGCGTCACTGTACTGCGTAGGATTCCTTCTTCACTGACGAATGATAAATGATAGCACCAATATTAGAAGCACAATCAACTATGTTTGGTGTGGCAAGCGTCAGATCAAAATTTGACTTGGACACAAAGAATGGGAGTGGTAGATGGTGCACGACAAGGGTGAAGGTTCGATGTGTATCAAACAGCCAGAAATTGGTTTACTGGATTGGGTTTTTCTACATCTGTCACAGTTGCAGTGTTATGTATGTGGTGTGACATAGGTTGCGAAACCATACACCGCCGTTGTATTGACTGGAAAACGGGGAGATCAACTAAGGCAGTTACTAATAAACTACAAACATTTGTCAACTGCTGCCTGCACAGAACAGAGGGAATTAAACGGTATGATATAATCATTAATGTAGAGCTTTGGGAGAGAACTAAACAAGTTCCAGTGGACCAAGAGGTGAAGGAAAGATGTGGTGTTGAATACTACACGCGTTAAGAAAACCTGAGAATAATGAAACTAAAATATATTGCACTGGGACCCACAGGAGTTTACGAATAAAGGGAGAGACAACACACACACACACACACACACACACACACACACACACACACACACACACACACACATACATACATACACATACATACACACACACACACACACACACACATAAAAAGAGGAAAGCAAGAGCGTGAAGTTAAAAGGATGGGGAGGACATAGGGAGAGCGGCATGCGATAGCAAAGTGTAGAACGACTTGGCGCGAGTGGTTGATGGCCTATGCTCCATTAGGGGTTAAAAGGCAGAATAATAAAAAGATAACAACGCCTTATAAACAATTTCACTAACTACCAGATGTATGTTCTTCTTCTTCTTCTTCTTTACGTCCTCTTTTACCGCTTCAGATGTCGAGAGAGATATAAGGTTCTGCTTCATGTTTTTCTCTCTGCTTCGACCTAAACACATCGTGGTACTAAAGAGTTTCTCTGATGTTATCCCGCTATGTTGTTCTTAGTCTACCTCTTGCTCTACGCCCCTCTCCTCTTTTGGTATATGCCTTGAAAGGTATAGCATAAGGAGGCCTCTTCAAGTGGGCAAACCATTTAATTTGCTGTCTTTGTATGTAATTTAGAATTGGCACATGCCGACTTTATAATGCAGACTTTATCTTGTATGACCTCGTTCCTGGTTTTATCTCTTCTGGTCACTCCTACAGTCTTTCTCAGACACATTTCCACTGTTACTAATTTTCTTTTTTGTTTAGTTATAAGTGACCACGTCTGGCACTGGTAGCATAGGGTGGGAATGAATAGCCTTTGTATGAGATGTCTCTTTATGCTGATTGGGATTGCCTTTTGCTGTAAGAGGGAAGCCAGCTGTCCCAAGACTTGGCCGCCTTTACTGCCTCGAATGTCAATTTCTTCGTCTAATTTTCCATCTTCAGTGAATGTTATTCCAAGATATTTAAATTCAGATGCCTGTTTAAAATATGCATGCTTTAATGCTATGTTTATATCCTGCTTCTTTCTTCCTATTGACATTACTTCTGTCTTATATGTTGATTCTTATGTTAATTGATTTACATTCTTTATTCATGGTTGGGAGATGCTGCTGCAAATTCATGGCTCTATCTGCAGTCAAGGCCTGGTCATCTGCAAAAAGTAATTTGTTGATGTTACTATTATTTTTGTTCCCAGACCTGGCATCCTTGCTAATACTGTCAATGTAGGTGGTAAACAGGTGTGGTGATAAGACACATCCCTGTCTTACTCCAGATGTTACTTTAAATGTTTTAGACGTTCCCTAGTTTATTCTAACTACGCTTCTACAGTCGCTATATAAGCTTTTGCAAACTTCAATGAAGTGTTCACTTACTCCATATCGAGCCATTACTTTCCATAATTTTGTGTATGTTTATAGGGTTTATTGAACTCTCGTCGTCCAAACAAACACGCCATGACATCATTTTTTATGACTGACTGACTGACTGACTTTTTACCCCACCAGGACATCACACAAGCGATAAACACCCGATAACACAAAGTGCCACCATGCGGATGAGGATCGCCATGGAGAGGTCCCAGAAACCGCGTTCAGAGAATTGGCCATATTTATGGCCTGCCTATATTGCGACCCCTGGCAAAAGCCAGGGTGGGGCTTCAAATAAAAAAAAATTTCGTTATGAAAAGGGCGAAACTGGATTATTCAATTAGTGTATTTATCATTTTTTATGATCATGATAAGCTATTGCCCATGTGGACCAAGCAATCAACAATGTTCTCTCATGTTTAGCCTAAGCCTACTACAGAAACCTGTCGAATTACTTTAATGATCCAATTAGGTATATGCGTTGCTAAATCTGTCACAGTCAGGTTATCGCATTTTATACTCACTCAAATAATTATGAAAAAATCCTTAGAACTAAAGATGACTGATCTAAATAGTATAGGTCTGGCCGCTTATACTGAATAGATCTGACGTAGTGGAGAGAAAAGGTGGTTTACGTTTTTGTGTCACTTGGGAAAATCTTTTTGAAATTTTCCGTTACTTAACGAGTTAAAGACTATACATTACGTACTGGAGAGTGTGACGAGCAAGGCCAGACCGCGGTCAGTCTTTCATAATTAGAGCCTGTGATTTCAGAGCTTTTTCTGTGGTTCTCACGCGACTCCGTAGAACAACATAGCACTGCCATCCCGAAAGACTGAAAGGTTCCAAGAAGACACATTCACACACACACACACACACATACACACACACACACACACACACACACACACACACACACACACACACACACATATATATATATGCAAATATTTTTTTATTTTTTTTTTATTTTTCGTGTGTCAATTCCATTGGTAATAATCCTGCTAGTAATTTGATTTTAGAGTGTAAATTTTCTTGGACTGAAATTAGGCTGACTGTGTAATTTTTTTTTTTTTTTTCTTCAGGCTTTTGGCAATAACCTTCAAGTCACATCTCTGTTTCGATAGTAGAGATCAGTGGGCCAAAATACTTAAAAACAGCAGCACAACAGCAGTATTGCATTATCAACTCAACAAGAAAACACAGCGTCAAAGCTAGTCAGTTCAAAAGTACAGTCAAAAAGATTACCTTCTCCAGTTTCTTCATCAATTATTTCAAGAAAGGTTTCCATACAAATGCAGCAGCGTGAAATATACTTAACGAAGAACAGCTAACTCAACTTATTCTGCATCTGCGTCTCAGCGAAACACCAAACTTTATTAAGAAAGGCAAATTAATTCAAGGCTGGACCATTAACTTAAAGAATCCAGTTGTCTACTGAAGTGTAACCAGATATTCAATTGCGAGTGGTCGGGATTAGTGGCACACTGACCATCGTAAAGAAAACAATAACTCCTCCTGTATTTAACTACACAATGATGAAGTCACTGAGAATTTTCATTGTAACCGTCTCAGGAATCTGCCTAGGTTATTCTCTGGCTTATCCAGCCCAAGGTAGGTTACACATGAAAATGGTATGTATAGTATGTATTCTACCTTATTTTTGTTTGTTTTATATATATATATATATATATATATATATATATATATATATATATATATATATATATATATATATATAGTATGCATTCTACCTTTTTTTGTTCGTTTGATATATATATATATATATATATATATATATATATATATATATATATATATATATAGTATGTATTCTACCTTATTTTTGTTCGTTTTATATATATATATAGTATGCATTCTACCTTTTTTGTTCGTTTGATATATATATATATATATATATATATATATATATATATATATATATATATATATATAGTATGTATTCTACCTTATTTTTGTTCGTTTTATATATATATATATAGTATGCATTCTACCTTTTTTTGTTCGTTTGATATATATATATATTTATATATACATATATATATATATATATATATATATATATATATATATATATATATATATATATATATATATATATATATAGTATGTATTCTACCTTATTTTTCGTTCGTTTGATATATATATAGTATGCATTCTACCTTATTTTTGTTCGTTTGGTATATATAAGGTGAGGTGAGGTAAAGTATAGAGGATTGACTTCAATACACATGGTTTTATCCCATATGGATCAGTCTCTCTCTCTCTGCAGAACGGCTAACTGCCTGCCTAGAGCGTCGCATTGAGCAACGATCCCCAGGGATCTCCGTAGTAACTTCACTCGTGAGCTGAAGGCACCGCCTTGAAACGAACTCATGGCCTTCAGTGAGCGAGTCAAACGCATTGACCACTTCACCAAGGAGACTCACTTTAAGGAGTATGTTGATGTACAAGGTCCGACAATTAGGTAATGAGACTAGTTCCATAAAGTATAAAACTAGCTGTTGAAGATATAACATGTATTTTATTCTAAGTAAGCCTCTAGCGCATTGATACAGTGACTGGCACGATCTAACAAATACTGGAACGACCACTGAAGTTCTTATATAACACGATAAACAATTATCCCCAGAGACCTGTCGCAATAATTTAATTGTCACAATGGCGCTTTCTGTGAGTTTCAAACACAATGAAATGTTAACTTTTTTGCCCCATGCTGATTTCGTAACAATGCAGCTTTGAATAGGATAACAAAATAGCGGCTTGTTTGTTGTCTGCTTATCGGGCGGCGATGAAAAGTTGCCAGATCATACACGATGGTCATCTCTTTGGATTCATGCTTTGATTCATAGATGGTATTTTTGTCTTGGCCATTATAAAATCAGTCTTATTGGTATATCAATCAATTGATAAATATAGGGGCAAATACATACAACAATTAAAAAAAAATTAATCAAAAACATCTGAAAACTGGCTCATAAACAGCAATTGCCTGAGAAATGGCGTTGGCTGACAACATTACCGCCACAGACAGAACAGAAATGGACTGCAGGCTTCCTGCGGCAAGTGGCAAGAAATAATACTCACGAAGGTGGACATGCCAATGAGTACCTCGAAATCAAAGGGTCGTAGCTGATGTCCGAGAGAGGCAAAAATTACAAACAACCAACTCACAAATCGTCTACAGCCACAACGGTCAAGCACAGACTCATCTTCAACACCACTTTCGTCGTCATCAACATCATGATCATCATCATCATCATCATCATCAGCAAAATTGAACTATGCCGTTTCATGAAAGAGATTGTGTTTCGTAACTCCACACGATCTCCATAATAATCACACGTCGGCTCACTGCCTTTGTCTCGCGCCATCCAACTGTCCAAGCTATCTAGGCATTCAGTCGATGTACAGAACCCCCCCCCCCCCCTTTTTTTTTCCCTCCCTTATTTGCCTCTCTCATTTTTTATTTTTCTATCAATCTTGCCAAGTGTTTGAGTTCATTCCTTCTTATAACATCTTCAAAAACATCGTCTGCCTACGTATACCTTTTATTATAATCTTAGCTTCCTCCTGATTCAAAGAGAATTGTCTCACAATAGTCCTGCCCTACATTCACTGAATAAAGAAGGGAAACATTTGCAGCTGGGGATTTTAAAAGTCTAGGACTAAAATATGAAAACACACATAACATTTTGATTGATATCATCATCAGCATCCTCATTTCGTCTCATGTCGAGAAGATTAGGCATCGTGTTTCAACGTCTCACACGATCTCTAGAATGACAGATCACATCAGTGTTCTTGTCTCGCCCGTCCATGTGGTCACGTTTATATATTTGCCTTTTACACGAAGATTTTCCATTAGTCTTGCCAGTCATTACCAACTTCTTGAGTCCATTCTTTCCCATAACATGATCGAAAAACAACGACTGCCTAAGTCTAATTGATTTAACCAGTTTACCACTGTAATCTGTATCGAGGATGTCTGCTTCATGTGTTGCTCTGTCTTTCTGCATTGCCTGCATTATTCTTAAAACCTAATATTCAGGTGCGAGTTATTTTGTATCAGTCTGTCTGCCTATTGCCCAAGATACACGTGCACATTAAAAACAAGGGTTCTTTATATCATTATCATCACAATGTTCAATGTCAATAAATGAAGGAGATTGTGTTGGTCATTTCACACGATCTCCAGAATTACAAGTCGGGTCACTGCCATTGTCTCCCTCCATCCAAATGTCCAAGCTAGAAACTGACTCACGGAGCATGTTGAGAAAGGTGGAGACAGGCATGCTCCGTGCAGAGTGGAAAGAATCACTTTAGAGGTCCCAGGTGGATAGCGTTCTTCGGATATTTTCTTCAGGTCATGCAGGTGTGTTAAGAAATGAGCAAGCAGATAGACAGACCGGTTATAGACCACTTTTGTTTTGGTGAACTGTTATACGACAATCTAGATGTTGTGAGGGCTCTTTAGGAGCAAGTGAGCGACTGATTGATGGTGATAATATTGCCATTGCTAGGGACGGAACCAGAGGCACAAGACTGATAGGCTAGCATGTTAACCACTACATCACATTGACAGCTACGTTCAAAACGGTTCATAACAGCGGTAACATAAGTTAAGTCCTGAACAAGTCGAGCCTAGAAATGAACGAACAATCATAACTTTCTGCTGGAATGTATACCCCTGAATGCAAAGAAGAAGAAGAAGAAGAAGAAGAAGAAGAAGAAGAAGAAGAAGAAGAAGAAGAAGAAGAAGAAGAAGAAGAAGAAGAAGAAGAAGAAGAAGAAGAAGAAGAAGAAGAAGAAGAAGAAGAAGAAGAAGAAGAAGAAGAAGAAGAAGAAGAAGAAGAAGAAGAAGAAGAAGAAGAAGAAGAAGAAGAAGAAGAAGAAGAAGAAGAAGAAGAAAGAAGAAGAAGAAGAAGAAGAAGAAGAAGAAGAAGAAGAAGAAGAAGAAGAAGAAGAAGAAGAAGAAGAAGAGGAAGAAGAAGAAGAAGACGACGAAGAAGAAGAAAAAGAAGAAGAAGAAGAAGAAGAAGAAGAAGAAGAAGAAGAAGAAGAAGAAGAAGAAGAAGAAGAAGAAGAAGAAGAAGAAGAAGAAGAAGAAGAAGAAGAAGAAGAAGAAGAAGAAGAAGAAGGAGAAGAAGAAGAAGAAGAAGAAGAAGAAGAAGAAGAAGAAGAAGAAGAAGGAGAAGAAGAAGAAGAAGAAGAAGAAGAAGAAGAAGAAGAAGAAGAAGAAGAAGAAGAAGAAGAAGAAGAAGAAGAAGAAGAAAAAGAAGAAAAAGAAGAATGTTGAACTGCACTGCCAGTCATTTATCAAACCAGTTGCAGCTGGCTAAGTCCTGCCTGTAGTGCAACTGCCATCACGCCTGTTTTAGAGATAAACCCTATCTGGAACACGATATGATCAGCAATAATTCTAAATTAGCCCAAATTAAGCAACGGCACAAAAGGACATGATTAGCCCCACATTTTAGCCGAATCTGGCTACTAGTGCGCATATCTCATGAATTTACAATGTAGAAGAGCCACGTAAATAGGAAGCTGGAATAAATGAGAACCCTGGTCCGTTTCTCACGAGGATGGAATCTGCTTTCCAAGAACGTGTTCTTCGATAGGGGAAAAGTGTGGAGGGAACAATCACTAAATACCATTTCTCATAAGTGGCTTTGTCATGCCAGGAATAAAAATTGAGATATCACAAATATGTGATATATAACAGCAGCTACGTGTGTCTCCACCGCGCAGTCATTAATATGTTTGCCTTCTGCTAATATTTTTTTTTACACTTCATTGTTGGGTTAACAAGTTCATTTATTCTGGAAATTCCTAAGGATTGTCACATAAGATTCCGACTTCTTACTGTGTTCACAATCTCTGCCTTGTTGCATTTTCAGGTAACTTTGTAAACTTCGGGACCTCAGTAAAACCTTACTTTTAAACCGCGATTTGCACATGTAGGATTTAATCCGCTGAATCAAGATGATCTTCTCAAAGATGCCCAGCTCAAGGAATGTATAAAACAAAGTGTAAGAGATGACAGGAAAACATATATAATTTGGTTAACGGCATGAAAATATCAGACAAGTAGGGGCAATGTGATAAAACACAATCATTAATTTTTTTTTTTTTTTTTTTTTAAGTGAAGATGAAAACAAAAGAGAAAGATGTCATATAAAGTGAAAAGATAGGACACAAAGTGAATACGTAATATCCAACAACAACAAAAAGTGGTCGTGAAATTTAGATAGGTGATATGGAAGAGAAGACGTTATTGCGAAACATAACAAAGCAAATATGAAAGAAAAGTAACAGGGTGTGAAACTGGCAGATGGTGTGAAAGAGAAATAAGAACATGGGAAATATAATAAAGACCATTGGAAAGAAATGTTTCTAATGTGAAAAACAAGGTTGAAATGTAAAAGACGTCAGAAAAGGTAGAATATGAAAGAAGAGTAAGGGGTGCAGGGGTGATACACTCAGACCATATGAAAGAGAAACACATGAAGGGGAGAATTTAAACGAAAAAAGAAACTGTGAAAGAGAAGAAGATGTGAGAGAAAAAGATGGAGAAGTAAAACGAATACCAA